TTACTACAAACAACACACGCCCTGCAACCGGCACAGTCAGGCTTCCACTGGGGAGCAGCTTGGGACACGCATGGAAGAAGAGGTGCCCGGTGGATCAGGCAGAGGCACAGCAGGAGCCACGTTTTACTACAGCTCACATGGGCAAGCAAGGGGAGAAGCCTCGCGGAGCCAAAACCTCCATCCAGGCATTACCAAAGCTGCCCACCACTCACAAATGATGCACCTGCACTTGGCAACTGTTAGAGGAAGCAACTCTGATCTTGTGAGCAGGAGGGAGACCACTTGACCACCGAGCTCAACAGGGCACATTCACATCTCTTCTCCATGACAAAGAAAACACAAAGAGGGCCAAGGAGCAGTCAGGTAAAACCCGGGCAGTGACTTTCCTGGGAATGAGGTATGGAAAGAAAGAGGCTGCAACAGCTCCTCTCCTCTCCTTGTCTCTTCCTAGTTAACAGCCCTTCAGAAAACCCCAAAGTTCATCAGAGCAGCAGCAACACATGCACCAGCCACGCACCCGCGGCACAAGGGTGGTTGTGGCCGCGCTCTGTGCCGCGGCGCCATCCCGCTGCCCTGCCAACCCCAAGCACCCCCTGCCACTGCTGGCGCTTACTTTCTATGTATCCGTGCAGCGTCACCATCCGGGCCCGCTCCGGGCTGCTGAAGGGCGAGTAGTGAATGTCATCAGAGAGCGAGGAAGGGATGCGGGACGGGGGGGCTCCCGAGGGCGGCACCGTGTGCTGCGGGGTGTGTTTTTTATGGCGGGCTCTGCAGTTTTGAAACCAAACCTGCAACAAAAAGCAGCAAAGGATGTGTCAGTGGAGAGGGAAGTGAACTGAAGCGCCTTGGTCCTTCGCCAGGGCCCATGATGGGTGTCTCTTCCAAGTATTTAAAGAAAGAAGGATTTGAACTTAGAAATGTGCACCCTGAAACACCTCACCAGTGTTCCACCAGCTTCCACAGCTGTTTTACACTCAGTAGAGCAAGAGATTTATCTCAACACAGGTCGGACATTAGGGTACCTAAAGTGGCATCTCTACTATTGATTTGTCTTGGTCAAAACCAACACTGATCTTTATTAGGGTAATTAAAACTTTCCAGCTTGTCACTGAACGAAACACCCTGACTAGGGTGATGCAGAAACTCACAGTCATGGTCACGCTATTCCCTTCACGCTGCTCCCTGAGCTCAAAGGGCTGTAAAAGCCCTTGGTAACAGCGCACTGCACATGCAAAGCTTCATCTGCAAATGATGGAAGAGCCTTTCAAAGTCTGTCTTAGATTTTAACCTTCAGCCCCAGCTACCTCAGCCTAAAAGCATGGCTGGGATCACCTGAAAAATGTCTGAGCATTAGCAAGGACAGGGGAGACAAAAACAAGTAACAGCTTAGACCAGGAGAACCTGTGGCTTTAGGGATGATGAAAACAGTAGTGTTTTAATCACTTGTGGTTTACTGTATTCAAAAGCTACATCAGCAGAACATGAAAGCTGAGAAAGGAGGGTACTGTGGCGGGATATAGCCCTAGTCCATATGAGCAGCAGGTATGAGCCCTCTGACCATATCTCACTGCTTTTAATTAAAGGAATATTTAGGGGATTACATCCTAAGTTAAAACATGCATGGAAGGAGTTTTTAAAATGCTAATGTGGTGATTTCTTTCTTATGCTTTAATCTTTTAAAGGTAGATGGAAGTAAAAATCTTCCCCAAGGCTGAGCAGAGCTCAGCTCTCCGAGGCCGAGCACGCTGGACCACAGAGAAGGAAACAGTCGTAAGCGTTTGACAGATTGTTTCCTGTTGAAAGTGCCTTTAGAAAATATCCACATAAAAAATAGCCCAGCGTGCAGCCTGCCTGATCTGCAGCCTAACGAAGAACCTCCATAACTGAGGCTCCAGCCGGGTTTTCACACATGAAATTTAAATGTGTCATTGGCAAAACAATCCTGGATGAAAGCTCCAGATTTGTTTTACTCACTTGTGTTTTTATTGTATGCAGAAAGCATGTCAGCAGAACGTTAAAGTGAAGAGTGTGGATGTCACCAAGGGGCAAAGCTGGGCTGCCTACAGAGGTGGAACGCGGCAGAGGGGGATTTCTCTCAGTCCCATAGTACAGCTTTCTCTCCCCTCCCAAACAGCACAAGTGCTGAGACTTCCCTGCCACCACATCCCCTTTTTCCTTTAAGCAGATCCCAATGCTTCCCCAAGTGAGCCAACTTTGCCTGCTCACACTGGGATGGCTGCTGGAGATGGGGAAGCACCCGCACTGCCCGTGCCTGCTGCCAGGGCAGAGCACAGAGCTCCGGGACCTCACGCTAACAGCAGCTTTCCCACCCATCAATTTATTGTGGCTGGCTGGGGCTGTATGTTGGGTTTACTCATTGCGTCGTAAGAAGGAAAATCAAAGAGAAGACATGAGCAAGACAGAGGATGGATGGTGCTGGCATTGCTATAGGAGACAGTGAAGCCAACACACCATGAAGCTGCTGGATGCTGCAAGACCCAGGGTTGATGTGCAGGAGTGAGGGGCTCCAGTGATATGAGTCCTCTCAATACCAGCCTTTTGGCACATCCCCTCTGCCCCTCTCCTTGCCCTGCGTGGGGCTGCTCGGCCGGTGCTGCGTGCCCCCTGCCTGCCCCAGCTGCCCTCACCTGAATGACTCTCCGACTGAGCCCCGTCATGTCTGCCAGCTTCTGAAGCGTCTGTGCATCGGGGTTGTTGTCCTGAGCAAACTGTGCCTGCATGACCTGGGGAGGGGAGGGAAAAGGGGGTCAGGATGAGGCCAGGGAGCCGCAGCCCCTCCAGCCCCCCGGCCCAGCCCCACTACCTGCAGCTGCTCGGCGGTGAAGGAGGTGCGAGCCCTCTTGGCTGGCTTCGGCTGGCTGTCCTGCTCCGAGGGCACAGCCCCCTCCAGCGTGATCCCGTTGCCTATAAGAGAGAAGCCCCCTGTGTGCTGCAGGTCAGAAACTCCCCTGCTCATCTGCTGCCCCTGCGTGCAACAGCCGCTCAGCCGAAGGACAACACGCCTGGCATCCCAGCATAGGGCACCTGCAGCACCCACTGCTGTGAGAGCAGCAGCAGAAAGAACAGAGCTGGCACCACCACCTGGAAGCTGCTGAGCCCCTTCACACACCAGGAAGGAGACAGCACCATCCCTGAAGAGTTTACTATTGAATTAAGAAAAATGAAGCAGTGGGGAATGAGGGATGGGGAGATGGCAGCAGGAAGATGGATGTCAAGGTGGTGTGTGAAGGAAAGCACTGCTGGCCCTGGCTCGGCCACATCACTTGGCTATATCCTGCAGGGAGTGGCTTGGAACAGACCCTGCTCCTGCCAGGCTCACCGACATCCTTCACTCCTGCCCAACACGCTGCTCCCTGTGACCCCACTTTTCCCTGCAGGCGCTGCCTCCATCAGTCATTTCATTTGCTCAGACCATTTCAACGGGCTTTTCACTCCTTTCCCCAGCCCCAAATCCTCACAGCACCCTGACCTCCTCCTCCTGGGACCCAGCGCAGGACCAGCACCATCCTCACGGCCTTGGGGTGCTCATGTTCTGAGCAGCAACCACGCTAGTGGGGACGCAGCGCGGACACACCGTCCACCCAGCTGCCAAGCACAATGTCAGGACAAGCCCAGCTGTATCACACAGCTACAGAGCCTGCAGGGGTCCCGTGTTCCTCCGTGGGGGCCTCTTGCAGCCCATGCGGTGCCCTGCCCAGCCATCGGCAGCGCGGTGCAGCACCAATGAGGGATGGATGAGGGAGGATGCCTGAGCAGGGCTGGCGCTCGCCCTGCTCCCAGGATGCGCCTGCACAACCCGGCGCTCACTCTGCAAGCTGGACCAGGCTGTGATTGTCTTGGCTTGAGTTGAAGGACTTTCTCATATAGTTTGACTTGTTCTTTTCGGATGATGAATGGGACTCTGACTTCAGCAACATCTGTTTATTTTTCTTGTATGTAAAACCTCATGTGCAGAAGAAATTGCTGGGTAATTACTAGAGGGGGGGAGCACGGCCCTCCAACTCCACAGCAATTGCAGCTCTCCAAAGCAATCCCATTTACTTCTCAAAACCAAGGGACACTTGGACACAGGACGCTCACCACATGCCCCAGCACTGTCTGACACTGTTGGGACTCAGCCCACACCAGCAGGTCCTTACAAGCAGCACCAAACCTACTGCCCCAGCTCTCGGTTAGAGTAACAGCTCCCAGCACCAGACCCTGCTGTCCTTGCTCTAAGCCTCCTCCTCCAGGCCATGCAGCCTCTCCCCCTCCATCCCTGCTCCCCACCGCCTCGCTCGTGCCTCCACAGCAGCCGACCATATGGACCAACACGCTGCGAGCCTCATCCCGACCCGGGACCCTCCCAGCCCAACCGGGCACTCTGTTTTTATCCTCTTACTCAAACACTGTAAACAGAAACACATGATTTTCATGTCAGGTTGATTAACTGTTCCCACATGCTGCATGGGCCAGGACATGGTGTCTGCCTCCCCGTGCCCACCAAGCACTAGCAAGGGGCACAGGGGGCTGGAGCCCTGCTCCTGACCAGGGGCGATGCCCCAGCACAGCCCCAGCCCCAGGAGGGTCCCAGGCATAGGAGCCTGTAAGAAGGCGGCCCTGGGCACTTGCCTCGGTGACTCTGAGGCTGCACAGCATCCCGGGGCACCCTGCTCTCACCCAGCGCAGCACCCATGTGCAAAGAGCCTCTCATCCGCAGCAGCCATTGCTCCCATAGGGGAGATAAACTCAGCCTCAGCCCATGGGCCGGCCCCCGCCTG